CAAACTTTAGCTACAATTATTTGAATGTTTGTATGGATTGAATGATCTGTATGTGGATATATTTTAATGTGAATTTGGAGGTATTTTCATGAAAGATTGTGTTGTGTGTTTGCCTATCAATATATTTTCCATTCTAACCTAGGTAGAGAGAAAACCCCCTTTCTTTGAAAGAGGCTTGTAAAGCTGGGTTTTCTTAGGCAAATCTTGTCTCCTATGTAGGTTAATGTAGGGAAACCCTCTTTGTTCGTATTAGAACCTAGGGTTGGTTGTAATTTGGCCGTCCAAATTCTGATTCGAGGGTGAAGACTTGGCAACCCTTAGTCAATAGGTCAAGAGAGCTACTTTGGTGGCTTGAATCGAATTCACTTGACCTAGCGACCGAGAGAGTGGCGTTTGGCTACGTTTTGCACTTGCCAACGGTTTACAACCACCTTACCACACATATCCATTCGATCCATCAAGTCATAATTGCTAGCTAGGGGGAGCAACAACCGGGTGAAGCCTTCTCATTTAGTGTCAAATCCATTTACTTTTCCAAACGTTTTAGCTATAGATCGTTGTTTTCACCAAAAAACCCAATCGCTAGATAATGTTACAAACAATCGAAGTAGGGGTACATGAACCGGCCCGGGTTGGCATTTAAACATACTTGCCCTGTATTGCACCCAATTGAGGTTTATACTTGCCTTAATTGGGAGTTTTATTGTGATATTCGGAACAAGTCAAGTTTTTGGCGTCGTTACCAGGGAGCAAATGGTTCATTATTGTGAAAAAATTGTTTGGTGTTTGATGACTCGGTATTTGCACATGTTTTCCCCTTTGTTTCTTGATTGTTTGAGCTTGAATTATTGCGTCTTTGGCCTATTTTATGCTAGGTTGTGTTCCTTTGTCCCATTTCAGGTCCTAGCACATAAAGTGAAGCATAGGCGCAAGTTTCAAGTCAATCAGAGATCAATTGACGATTCGAGAGAAGAAACTCGGGCATGACCTGAAGAAGAATGGATTTCTACCTCACTTTATGGACAAAGAATCATGCAAGCTTGTTATGAAAAGAAAGAGGACGAGACTACGAGCGTCTGGGATCAAACGGCGACTGAATCGGAGGTCAAACGAGCTCAAACGAGATCAACGAAGCTTAGGAGTGCATGCTGGAAATTGTGCACGGCCAGAACCTCAATTTGCACGGCCGTGCAAGTAGGGGGTGCGAGTTTCAGCGGGTATAAAAGCTGTTTTGCGATTTTTGGAGAGGGAGAGCTGGGTTTTGGATCCCAAACACCCAAGGGACGAACCCTAGAGAGAGAGAGCGACTTGGAAACATTCTTGGAGCTATTTTGGAGGATTTCTTCGCCATTGGAGCTCGGGAATCAAGCTTGGAGATGGAGATTGAAGATCTAGATCAGATTTCTGCAGTCTCTCTCTTTTCTATGGAGTAACTTCCCTTCACTTAGGTTTTGAGGAACCCTAGTTCCATGTGTTAGGATCTTTCTTGTATGAAGTTTTGGATGCTATATTGTTTGATTATAATCGATTGAGGCATGATTTATTGAGTCAATTGAATCTTGATCAAATTCTCTTGATTTCTGCTTTAACCTATGATAGATAGAATATGATTAGGTTAAGAGAGCTTCCTTGATTGATAGTGGTGAATTGGTTGTGCGAGAGTCAATCAATTCACTGCTTTGTACTGGAATTCATTCCAGTAGTGGAGATCTGTGTGAATCGCCTTAGCAGTCTATCCCGGTGAAGGCTAGTCACCTGCCGGGTATTCTGTCTGAGAGGGCTTGGTCAGCTTAAGAGATTCCAAGCTAATTTAGGATCTTCCGCAGTTTAATCAACAGTAGATCAACCAAAGGTAATTGCAACTTGGACCTAATTGAGGAGCTAGGGGGAATCATACCTAAGTGAGTTCCCAACTTGTAATTAGTAGAGTAGTTAGTAGAGTAGTTTAGTAAATCAATCCTTAATCTAGTTTGCTAGATAATGAACTGAAGCTGAGTAATAGTAACTCTAGAGACCCGTGGATTCGATATTTATTACTTGTGCCACTATACTGCAGTCCCTTTCATTGGTTACACTTGGCCATTGTTAGGTGTTGTGTTTTAGCGTGTCAGTGTTAATCTAACTTTTTCTCTTCGCTTTTGTGTTTCTGAATTTTGGTTGTGTTGGACGAGTTGTGGTTCTCTTGAGTGTTTGCAGGGAGGTGTATGACTCGGAGTAGTCCGACATCTTTGACGCCACTAGACGAGAATCTCAGCCGCACTCCCCGACTCTTGGCTCGTGAGAGGGAACTGGCAGAGGCAAGAAGGAGGATAGAAGAGGAAGTTGTAGTTGAGGAAGAGTTTGATTCCAAAGATGAAGGAAGTAAAGCTGATATATCGGCTAATCAACCCGCTCCAGGTGGAGCGGCCGCGGAGGAGCAACCAAGGACCATGGGCTACTATATGGCCCCACAGGCAGCGAATATTCAACCCGCCATTCGACATCTTCCTGTGGCCACCAACAATGTTGAGATCGAGCCTGCCATTGTCACCATGATCCAAACAATGCCATGTTTCATGGGCTTAGCAATGAGTCTCCAAAGGAGCATGTTCAGAAGTTCATCGAACTTGTGGGGAGTTTGAAGATCAATGGTGTTCCCGAGTATGGTTTGAAGTTGAGGCTATTCCCCTACTCTCTTGCGGGGAATGCGTCTCGGTGGCTCAACAATGGATTGACTCTCTCGATCACCTCGTGGGATGACATGCTCAACAAGTTTATGACTCGGTATTGTCCACCTTCAAAGTCGGCGGAGTGGCGCAAGAAGATCACCCACTTTGATCAAAAGGAAGATTAGACATTGAGGGATGCTTGGGAAAGGTACTCTGACTTCTTCCTCCAATGCTGACATCATGGATTCGAGGAGAAATTCCGAATTGAGACCTTCTATGGAGGTCTCCACTAAGACGACAAGATCCTCATTGACTCCTTATGTCAAGGAAAATTGATGAACATGACTCCACCCCAAGTGATCGAGTTGCTTGAAGACATGGCAAGTAAAGGGTATGATTGGGGGTTTCACGAGAAGTGGAAAGAGGAGCACCGCAAAAGGAGTGCAAAGTGTAGGAGCGAGTCCCCCACTTGAAGCCAAGATTGATCGGTTGATTGATGCACTCCTATAGGACAAGAAGCATGGGAAGAGGCCGGTAATGGCGTGTGATTGGTGTTCAAGTACCAACCACGAGATTTCAGACTGTCAAATGATGAAGGAATCAAGCACCCTCTAGGAGCAAGTGAGTTTCATCACCAATGCTAGAGGGAACAACTCTTATAGCAACACTTACAACCCGGGGTGGCGAAATCATCCCAATTTCTCTTGGTCTTCTCCTACCAACCCAAGACCCCCTGATTTCCAAGGACCGAAGGGAAATTATCAACCAATGCCTACTTTCATTCAACAAAGGCTGCAATTCCAAGGCTCTAACTTCCAACAACCATTTCAAGCTCAAGGTGGTCAAAGGTTCCAACAACCCAATAAGTTTGCAAAACTTGAAGACCTTGTGACCACCTTCGTTAGCACGAGTACTCAAAAGTTTGAGAAGATTGAGCAATTTATGGATGTGGCAACAACAAAGTTTACTTCGGTTGAGGGGGATTAAGGAGCCAAATCCTCCTCCAAACGACCATGTAGTTCTTTTTTAAGATTTACATTATTCAATATTTGAAAATTTTAAAAATCAATACAAATAATAAAATCCTATACTGAATTTTGTTTAACCTACTGAATTTTTTTAGTTAGTGCTAAAATAGAAAATATTAAGCGCAATGTACAAAATCAATCCAATCAAATTGCAAATACAGTTAATACTTAATTGTTTTTCATCCTATACAACCCAACCCGTTCTTCTGATAAATGATTTCTTGATCTAATCATCTAATAAGTGAATGACTTAGAAGTTTCTTTTTTTTGGCAAAATACACTTGTATAGCCATAACTTTTATATTTGTGTTAATTATAGCCATAACTATGCGAAAACACAAAATAGCCAATTCCGTCCATTTTTTTAACAGCGTCAGTTGACAATATGACTCGACTAATGGAAGAAGCTGAGTTGGTGATTGATTTACCGCACTAACTGACATGGATTATAAAGAAAAAAATAAACAAAACCAGAAAGCGACTAGACCCTTTGTTTCTTCCCTTCCCCGACGCTACTCTTCCCGAAAGCGCGATCTCCCATCTTCCCCTTCTTCTATGAATCTCCCCATCAATCTCTCCTTTTTCATACTCTTAGCCTCCGTCTTAGCTCTCTCCTCCGCTTGGTTTCCACCGCCGAAGATGCATCTCTAGCTTACGGAAAGGCGACGTTCAAGCTCCTCCATTCCTCGAACGATGGCAAGAAGCCTGCAGAATGCAGAGAGCTCTCCAGCAGCTCGAATCTCTCTCTTCCAAGGTCAATTCCAACAGCTCTACCACCATCACCACTCCTAATCCAGCAACAACATTGACGAAGACAGCTCGATCCGGAGCTAAAGGCGATGATGGAGAAGTGCGGTGGAGGGGATGACTCTTCTTCCGCCAATGCCAAAATGAGGCAGCAAATGTTGATCCGATTTCCCCTCATTTCGCCGGCCGATCGATGGTGTCCTAATCAGCGTAACGCTAACAGAACTAAAAGTGTTCCTGACACCGTTAAAGTTTCTAAAGAAAATGGGAAATACAGTTAAAGTTTCTAACGGAAATGATTAGATTTGTCACACTACCATCCTATTTTTGGATTATTTTGTGTTTTCCGATAGTTATAGTTATATGCCTATACAAATGTATTTGGTCTTTTTTAAGTGAAAGGCTTAGAAGTTTGGATGTCAATGAATTATCCGGAGTCCGGACTTGACTCAACGGGCTCAAAGTCCAGACCTCTGAAGAAGGTCCGCAGAGGAGAAGAGGGGATATGAAGAAGTCCAAGCCCAATAACACCAAAAACTGCTATTTTCAGAATTTACATAACCACCGAGGAAAAACACCCGCCACTTCTTATCATCACAACAAGACAACAAAGTACGTACCTTCTTCGCCCATCTACTCTCATCTCTTCTTCAACCTCTTCATGACCAAGAGAACCCAAATCATGCTCACCATCAGAAAAATTCACTCCCTCCATAATCACAACTTCTTTCATGAAGGAAGCCCAGATTTCATCAGCCCAATCAAAACGTTTCCAGTCCACCGTGTCCCCTGTTCCTGCTGTATGAACAGAGCCAGAGCCACTCTGTTTTTCGTTCCATCCCGGAAGACAGGATGCTGAGCAGCCATTGTAGCAGTAATCAGCAGCAACAGAGGCATGTTCTATGGGATATCCCATTGCCACGGAATCAAATTTATAGCGGCTGTCAGTCGATGGAAAATGGATCTAACAAGAAAAGGCTGACAAGGGGAAATCTCCAACGCCTTGGGACTGGGATGAACAGTAGTGCTGCTAAAACAGATGGAGTGAATCATGTCGCGGCAGCAAGCAGGACATCTACCACACAATCAGAGGTAATGTTTAGCAATTGCACTTATGGGATAGTAACTAATTAGAACTAATTCATTGTCGCATTTCCCAAATGGAGAGTAGAAAGGAAAACATTGTTGCTGGATTATCATTATTCATTATCAATTGTTGGAAGAAGTAAATCCAAAGGTCCAATCCAAACAGATCAGGATCTGGACAGGCCGGGTCATACCGATACTATAGTGCGTTATGACGAAACGAGTCATCGTTGGCACCTTTAGGTCTAAGAATGACAACTCCAGCTTAGAATGTTGGGTTTACTTTATCTCGTTGGTACCGCCAAACTAGAAGCCCTTTGGCGAACCGAAGTAAGTTCAACTTAGTTCATTAATTTAGAGTGGCATGGAGCAGCCGAGCAGGGGAACTTTGAAGATTAACATTTGATCCCACTCACCAGAATCATTAAATCCCAATTCATATTACTGCCACTCTTTCCCACTCACCAGAATCAAACTGCAGGCTACTACCCATGATGACAAGCTGATACAACATTATGTTCCAACTTTTGTCATGCTCCCGGTAAGTACTTGCTCACTACTTAAATCTTGATTAGCCTCTGTGCACCCAATTCTTCGGCTACAAAATATTAGCTTTCTGGATCGTTTACGATTTGGCTGTTAACAATTGTCCTTTCTTTTGGGGGTCAGCTGGGAGTAGTTACAGCTGAGAATGTGATTGTGGACAAGGCCAAGCTGGAGAAGCAACTCAAGGAGCTCAAGGCGGCGGAAATTGACGGCGTGATGGTGGATGTCTGGTGGGGGATCATTGAAGCCAGAGGGCCTAAACAATATGACTGGAGTGGCTACAGGGAGCTCTTCCTGCTGCTCAAGAAATTGGACCTGAAAATCCAAGCTATAATGTCGTTTCATCAATGTGGTGGCAACATTGGAGACAATGTCTTCATCTCTCTCCCTCAATGGGTGCTCAAAGTTGGAGAGACAGACCCAGATATCTTCTACACCAATAGGGCTGGCGCCAGAAACAAGGAGTACCTCTCCCTCGGTGTGGATCACCTGCCTCTTTTCGGTGGCCGGACTCCGGTCCAGGTGAGACCTTGGCCACAAACTAACAAAACTGTGATGAACAGCTTTGGGTTTTAACGACTTTAGACACCTTATTATCATGAACAAGATAACCCCATTTGAGAAGGTACTTTACTACATGCAGATGTATGGGGATTTCATGAAGAGCTTCAGGGAAAGCATGGCGGATTTCTTCGAATCAGGGCTGATCATCGACATTGAAGTTGGGCTTGGACCTGCTGGGGAACTCAGATACGCTTCTTACCCTGAAACCCAAGGATGGGCTTTCCCTGGAATTGGAGAATTTCAGGTGTTATAACAACATTGATGTGCATCACATAACATAACAGAACAGTTCATTCTTTTCATGAAGCTGTGATGAGAAAGAGGAATGATCCAGAATTTTCTTTCACCTGTAGTGCTATGACAAGTACCTGGCAGCTGATTTCAAAGAGGCAGCAGCGAAAGCAGGACATCCTGAGTGGGAATTGCCTGATGATGCAGGGGAATACAACAGTAGACCTGACCAAACAGCCTTCTTCAGATCAAACAATGGCACTTACCTCACTGAAAAGGGCAAGTTTTTCCTGACCTGGTATTCCACCAAGTTGCTGCTCCATGGCGACGAAATCATTGATGAAGCTAACAAGGCTTTCCTGGGTTGTAAACTCAAATTGGCAGCCAAGGTAACACATCATATGCACAGACAAAATCGACAACGTTCCCCTGATGATGCAGGGGAAACATGAACATGTAATACCAGAATCCATGTTGTAACTGCAGGTTTCAGGAATCCACTGGTGGTACAACCATCCAAGCCATGCTGCGGAGCTGACAGCAGGCTACTACAACTTGCCCGATCGAGACGGGTATCGTCCCGTCGCCAGGATGCTGTCCAGGCACAATGCCATTCTGAACTTCACTTGCCTGGAAATGAGGAACTCCGAGCAGCCTGCTTACGCCAAAAGTGCCCCCCAGGAGCTGGTTCAGATGGTAACAATAGTAAAATTCGTCACACTGCAAGTCTGATTTTTCAACAGACATGGAATCAAGCTCTTGTCTTAACAACTCCTGAATACACCAATGATAATAAGTCAGGTTTTGAGCGACGGATGGAAGGAAGGGATCGAGGTGGCAGGAGAGAATGCCCTGGCCAGGTACTATGCTGATGGCTACAATCAGATCCTTCTCAATGCCAGGCCTAATGGCGTGAGACCGGCCATGGAAAGAGAGAAGAAGCTGAGGATGTATGGAGTCACAATCCTTCGGTTGACGGATGATCTGATGCGGCCCAACAACTTGGATCTGTTCAAGAAGTTCATTAGGAAAATGCATGCTGATCAGGTAGCTAAGCTACCTATTATTTACCACTTAAGATTGCATCATCTTATTCATGGTACAGAAATGCTCCAAAACTACTAATATAGTATTGGATGAAGCTTCTGTGAAGAGTTGTGATGCTAAGGTTTAATTTTGTTCATCAGCATTACTGTCCAGAACTGAGCAAGTATGGGCATGCAATTGAGAGACTGGAACGGTCAAAGCCAAAGTTGAGGACAGAAGAGCTGTTGGAGGCAACAAAGCCATCGGAGGCATTCCCTTGGGATGGTGAAACCGATATGCCTGTGGAGCCTGCAAGTGTATTTGCAAGATTACTGAAGACAATTCTCTCCATATTTTCTGACTGACAGTGGGCAGCGGGAGAGACTGATAATTATCCCTTTCCGAAGAACAGAAGAAAGAATGGAATAGAGGGGGAAAAGTATGAAAGATGGTTGAAGAAGATTACGACAGTCCAATGAACAGTCTGTTTGGGATCTGTCTCCCCTGGACTTCCAAACCTATGGGAGATCGAAACCTAATCACGTTTATACTTCATACTAGTTTGAAAAGGGTTTATTGAATCTCTTTTTTTACTTTCTGAGATAATATGCATACATTTATAGCATTAAATTATCTTTTCTGCCCGGGTGATAGTCGAGTCGGTTAGCAATTACCCGCCAACCAAAGAATCATTATCGTTAGCCGACAGTTAAATTAACAGTCAAAATTTAACAGTTAATCGTTAATTGTTAACCATCTCCTACCCGCCGAAAAAAGAGGATATTGGTAAGTCTGTGGACTTGGCCAACGACAAGGGCCATAATTTTATTTTTGGAGAATCTATAATAGTAAAGTGATAGCTAGAAGAAATCCTAGTGACTCACTCCCTTCTTATCCAACAATGTATTCTATGTTCATTCTTCTATTTTAATTTTATGTAGACAAATTGGTTATCTCCACTACTTAGCCCCAAGTTGGGTTGACCATCAATATTAACAGTCAAACATTCAGCCAAAAATTGTTGATATGGCTGATGCATGGTCACCAAATTTTTTTTTATTTTTAATTAATTAATTCAACCAAAGATTAAAAAAACTAAAAAATTGATTTAATTTAATCCCCTCAATCCAGAGAATTCGGGAAAAAATCTAAAACTACCACTGTTTTAACATTTTTTTACAAAAATACCACCCTCACCAAATAATTTCCAAAAATACCATCGTTTATATAAAACCGCGCCTCTGATGAGCGGTTTTCAATGAAACCGCGCCTCTAGGCTGCGTTTTCCCTTCTAACCGCTCCTTGGACGCGCGTTTTTATTTTCCAGAGAAAACCGCTTCTGGGACGCGCGGTTATAGGCTAACCCTACCACAAAACGCTTTAAGAGGGAGCGTTTAAATGTCGGCATTACAAACCGCCTGATAAAGGGGCGGTTTACAATGTCAGGACACAAACCGCTCCCCCGAGGCGCGGTTTGTGCCTGGTCACCCGACACCCGACATGTCGGACATGTCGGCATGCAGGGGTAGGGCTGCATGGCAGACATAAAACCGCTCCCCCCCCAAGCGGTTTTGCTGCAAAATTTGCCTATAAAAGGCTGTTTCGGAGAACTCAATTCTTCACACTTCCTTCCTCAAATTTCAGCTTTTCACCTTTAAATTATTTAGTTTTTGCGATTAACGTTAATTCGTAAGTTTGTTTCGTAATTACTTTTCATTGTCTTTGTGATTTTATGTTAGTAACTTAATTACTTTTGATTGTCCTTTGTGATGTTATGTTAGTAACTTAATTACTTTTCATTGTCATTTGTGATTTTATGTTAGTAATTTGAATTACTTTTCATTGTCCTTTGTGATGTTATGTTAGTAACTTGTGTTACTTTTCATTGTCATTTGTGATTTTATGTTAGTAATTTGAATTACTTTTCATTTTTCTTTGTGTTGTTATGTTAGTAACTTGTGTTACTTTTCATTGCAGATGGCATTCCAAAGGTTCACGGGTTGCGGTGGAATGGTTACACGGAAGAGACCGAAAAGGGTGTAAGTTACGTCGGTGGCAATTTTCATAAAATGAAGGTCCGTACGAGACCGATGCTTGAAGAGCTCCACCAAATGTGCACTCAGATTACCTGCATGGATGGCACTAGAAGAGTTGATCGAATGGTGTATCGATCTACAAACAGACATGACGGGTCGCTGTGGTATGAGGAATTCCTCCTTAACACTCAGGAGGACGTTGATGCCATGGTCCAATTTTTGACCACCAATATAATTAAGCAAGCGGAGATGTTCGTTTACACCGAGGCCGTCGAAGGCAGTGTAGGTCATTCTGGAGATGGCCAAACATCTAGTATCCACGGTGGGAGTATATTATACGAAGATCATCCCCACCAGGATTTCCAAGACTCGAGTTGGAGTCAGGAGTATCATCATGGAACTGGAGGAAGTCATCAATCCTTCCCTTCATATGAAGAAGAAGCTCAACAGGCGGATTACAACCAACAAGCAGGCTACCAGTACCCACCCGAGTACAACTTCTATCAAAGCGGTGTTAGTTACCACAACTACCATTACGGAGCTAGTGAAGGTCAAGGTGCCTTTCATGCTGATAATCAGATGGAAGAAGAGGTCAATCCAAGTCCAGTTAGTGACCCTGAGGTTGAAGAAGAGGAAGGCGAAGTTAGTGCAGACAGCTACGATCCGCTGGAAGGTGCTGATGATTCCGGTCCAGATTCAGACGCAGATGGTGATGAGGTACCTCACGACCGTGTACCTATTCCATACTACAATCACATTCAAAGTGAAGATTGGTATGTTGATGCCGACATGGACCCGCCAGATGTGCCATTATGGGGTCCACTAACTGGCTTTACGAAGGGCCAACAATTTGCAACGAAGAATGAGGTTCGACACGCTATTTCCACTGAAGCAATGACTCGGAGTTTTGAATGGCAGACAACCCATTCCGACACAAAGAGGCTGATGGTTCGATGCAGAAACTACAATGAGGGATGCACAGCTAGGTCCGGGCCATCAAGAGCAAGAGAGTCGGTCATTGGGTCATATCCCGTGCGGTGAACACACACACATGTGTGTCATCAATAACATCCCAAGGCCATCGACAGTTGAAATCAAGGGTGGTTGCCGCGGCTATCAAACATCTAATTGAGGAGCAGCCCGACCTGAAGGTGAAAACCATCATCGCCCACATTTCTAGTCGTTATGGTTATATCATTAACTATTAGAAAGCGTGGCATGGGAAACAGAAAGCAATGGCTGCCGTGTTTGGTGACTGGGAAGAATCATATGCATTCCTTCCCAAACTGATTTTGGCGTTGGAGGTGTCTAACCCTGGAACCATTTTCTCGCCTCGCTACCAAGATGAATAAATTCAATCGCCGGTGGCTGGTAACAATCGCCAATTCAAGCGTCTTTTCTGGGCCTTCAAGCCGTGTATTGATGGTTTTCCATACTGTGTTCCTGTGATTCAAGTTGATGGAACATTCCTTACCGGCAAGTACAAGGGTACTCTACTGATTGCCAGCGGAGCAGATGCAAATAGATTAGTATATCCATTAGCCTTTGCCATTGTGGAGGGAGAGAATACCGATAGCTATGGATGGTTCTTCAGACAAATTCAGCTCCATGTCACCAGATGGACGAACCTGACTATCATCTCAGATCGCCACGCCGGTAGAAGATGTGCTATTTTAGGCTTGGATCCAGCCTGGAACTGGTCACAGAGATGGTGCATCCGGCATTTCAAGAGCAACTGGAACCATCATTTCAAGCGAAAGAAGCTTGCTGACAGTCTATGGTGGATTGGTAAGCGTTCTAATTAATTGTCTATCTGTAAATTTTTAAAACTGTATAAAAGTATTGAGTGTATGGTTACAATACAACACTTATTTAGACTCTTTATAAAGAAATGCATGTCTAAGGAAATGGGGACTTAAGCGATCATCATGATCCCCCCATGACCTGGGAAAATTGGGTTCTAAGCGATCCTCGGATCCCCCCTTTTTCTGTCAAAAAGACTGTGTTTCTAAGGAGATGTATACCTCTCCTAAGAGTCTTACGAGTGTACTTGTATTGGCAATAAGGTCGATCTTGCTTATCTTACATTTTTTTTTAATATTCATCAGCTGTCGCGTACCAAGAGAAGAAATTTAAAGAGAAGATGCAGAATATCCGTCAAATATGTCCTGAAGGTGCGCAGTGGCTTGATCAACATGACCTTGAAATGTGAACTTTTCATAAGGACGGAGGTCACAGATGGGGTATTGCCACAACAAACTCAAGAGAGAGTATCAACAACGTCTACAGGGAATGTCGTGCACTCCCCATCTCTGCAATTGTTGAGATGACATTCTGGAAAACAAACAGATGGTTCGTCAACCGTCTCCACTGGTGTGAGAAGAGGGAGGCACATGGTAAGGTACACTCCAATTATGTATTGAAAATAATGGAAAAAGATAATCGGAAGAGCTCTCGTCACACAGTCATTGTGATGAACCGACATGCTGGCGAGTATTCGGTCGAGACTGGGCACTGGGAGGATGGGAGACGTGGTGGTCATCGCCATGAAGTCACCGTAAACTTTAGGACTAAAAAGGGGGAGTGCTCTTGTCAGAAGTATCAGGGTAGAGGGATATCATGTTCTCATGCAATGGCTGCAATAAAGCATAGGAGCAAATACCCTCGTCATTTCGTTAGTCCGTTCTTCAACATTGACTCACAAAAGAGCAGTTATCGTACTAGTTTCCGTGCATTGCCGGATGAAGCTTACTGGCCAGTTTATGAGGGTATGGTCATCATTCCACCAATCGGTCTTAGGCGGGAAACAGGGCGCCCGCGGAGAAAAAGGATTCCAAATGAAATGGATCAAAGTGGAAGACCACCGCGAGGGCCAAGGCGGTGTTCCATATGCAAAGTACCCGGTCATGATAAACGAAAATGTCCCGGACCAATTGGTCCTCAAAATGCAGGGCCCGATGTGGTGAACCCGGATAATGGCGCTTAGATTGATTTCATGCGTGTGTTCCATCTTTGTGTATTAATTTCAATGGTTACTCTACTTGTATGTTGTGTGCTTAAATGACATTGGAGATTTGCACAATTAACAAACTTTGGTGCAATTTTTCCATCTTTTTGAATAAAACACATCACGAACACAAACACACTACATTGTTCAACTTAAGTTAACTTGTACCATAACTTTACCTAAAAACACCATTATTCAACTTAATTTAAACAAAACATAACTTGAAATAAAACCACCATTGTTCAACTTAATTTAAACAAACCATAACTTGAAATAAAAACACTCATGCATTGTTTCGACGGTTTTCCCTCTGCTTCCTTGTGCGATGGGCGACTGGTCCACCGGGTGTAGATGATGGTGGAACGGGTGGCAGATTCCTATTCGCCGTAGAAGGGCGATCCTCCGTGTTATGCCGCCTCGGTTCCGTGATAGGTGGCCCCTCCGTCTGCGGTCGAGGGCTATCCATGCTCATACGGTGGGGAGTGGATTGCCATTGTTGTTGTTGCCATTGTTGTTGTGGTCGCTGCAAAGGTGAGAAGTCTTGGTGGGGACTTGAGTATGAACCCTCGGCCCAAGTATTTGAAGATGTGCCGTCATGAAATGTACTTGGCCGTTGTTCATACTGGAAACTGGGCCGGAGATTGTACTGGAAACTTGACCGCGGATCATACTGGCTTCCGGGCGTGGGATCGTACTGAGTACTCCCCCCTTCACCGCTGCACACCTCCAAAGGAGTAGGCGCCTTCCACGCCTCAATCGGTTTGATCTCCGGCACGTGAGGTCGATCCCTCA